AAATTATTTTGTTACACAGTATAATTTCAAGATCGTCACTATGGGACAAATGTGATAAAGAGAAATTCCATCATGCTGCCGTAATATATATATAGGAAAATTATTAATTAATATAAAATATTTAATATAACATTGTCCTTTTCTTCTATGACACCCTTTAGCAAACAAAAAAAAAAAAAATAAACAAGCTCAGTTCACTCTCTCTAATGAACACTAAGTAAAATAGATTGTTTTCCAAAAAAAAATCAATTTGCATAAAAATACCTTTGTACAACCCCAAGTGCCAATAATAATAATTATAAATAAAAAATAGTGTCCAATAGAACTCAAAAAAAAAAGAAATCAAGAAGTTAATGAAATATTTGAAAACAGGTAAGTGTTTATCAAAAGAATGGTGGTGGTGGCTATTGCCACTCATCATCACTCTAGTTAATATACACAATATTAATGTTAATTTAGTGTAAATAATAAAGAAAATGTTAAAGAGGATAAATTTATCTTACCAGGTGGAAATGATAACTATGGACATGCGAAACTGATCTCCTGGAAGAGACAAGAAAATTAGATGGTTTTAATGTAGAGAATAATGATAAGCCATTTTAAGATGCTATTTTATTGGCAGAAACTTATGCTTCTGATGCAAAAATTAGATGGATATTTCAAGTAATTGAAGCAGGTTTGGCAAATTAGTGTTCCATGTCGCAATCCAAAAAAGGAAACAATAATGGTCGTAAAGGTGGTTGCAACCAGTGGTTGCAATCATTTTTATATGACGCAAAGATGGTAGCAACCATCATCAAAAGTTGCAGCCGGTATCCTTATGGCAAATGTATGGTCCATTAGTGGTCCATATTTATTAATTTATTAATGGCAATGGACCAATCAATTTGCCAACCCTGGATTGAAGAATGGTATGTGTATTTTCAAAATGTTTTTAAGTTTTGGTTTCAACTTCTTGGTAAATTAAATAAATAATCTCAAAAAAGTGTGAGGATCAGTGTACCAGCATGTGACGAGAGGAGTTTAGACATACATTTTTTAAAACAATTTATGGATATTTTAAGAAATGAAGCTGAGCATCACTAGTAAGTAAACCTCTTTCAATGACTATATTTTATATATTATTTTTCACCTCTATTTACTGTCCATATATTTAAAGTGGTGAACTAACTTCATCTACCTCCAGATATCATTGAAGAAGGTCACGTGAACCAGAAATTGGACAGTATGGTGATTATATCTTTTCAGTAAGTATAAAAAAAAACAAGAATTTTTGAATTATTTTGTTTAAGGGTATTTTATTGTTTTTTTTTTTTTAAGGTATATAAGTTATGAGATGCTACAGCAGCACAAGGTTATGAATTTGGTACAGCTGAGAACTCTGGTCCAGATTCTAAGCCTCACTATGATAAATCCATATCTGATTTTATAAAAGTAGTGAAGGTAATTCGTGATCAACATTCAACATGTGCCGTTGCTATTAATACTGCTGCTGGAAGAATGCTTGATGACAACCTGCATTCAGCATTGAAAACAATACCTATTGTTGGATTATGTATAGTTGAATATACAATCAAAGTACATGTGATTTATTATCTTGGCGATGGTGTATGGGTATTTGATGAAGTTGATAGCTGTACTTTACAAACCTAGCCTAATTAATATTTCTAGAGCATGTAGAATGTTCATGTTTGTTGAGACATACAATGTATTATTTATAATTGACATACTCTCTTTATTTGTACTTTAGCAAATCATCATCAATGCTAAAACAATTTTTACCTCAGCAATTGATTATGCAATAAAAATCAGCATCTAAGAAAATCTCAACATCCTCAACATTAATAAAAAGTCATATCACTGACCATATATCAATTGTAGAAGTACCAACACCACCCAAACCTCAGGTATGTAGAATTTATTGTACATTTATATAAACTTAAATTTTGACATTGAATTATTTTTTTCTTTCCTTTAATAGTTAGTGACCAATAGCAAAAAATACAGAAGGGAAGAAATAAATAAATAAACATAATATTTAATTTCTATTAATAGAGATAATGTACTAAACCTTCCAATTATATTATTACTCATGATTATGTATAAAAAAATGGTACTATAATTTTGTACTTTTTTATTTTGTGTCATGAAACTAATGTCAAAGAACCCATTTATGTATTTTTTTTTCAAGAATATTGAAAAAAAAAAGTTGTTTATTCTTGGGGATGTAGAGATGAGTGAAATTTATGTAAAAAATTTTTTATATTTTTTTAATTATTTGAATAAATTTATTGTAAAGACACTTGATCACCACTAAAAAAACGGAATTGATTTCTTTATTGTCAAAAAAAGTCAATATGTCTTTTTTGAAAATGTAAAATTGCTACAAAATCGATTTCTTCATAAAAAAAAGCCAACATATTGTGAGATCAAAATCCGTATCTCACACAAATCTCCTAGATTTGGTTAAACTACTATTTTAGCTCCTTTTGTGGCAGTATCCAGCAATGTAATCCTTTGATTACTTCCTTTGCTATAGCGTTGGAGTTATTTAATTTAATTACACTCTTTGGTGTCTTGGCAGCTAATAGCGCTTCAGCTATTACTCCGTGAGAGGGCAA